TGGGGAAGGCTATTCCCCATGTCTGTGGGCATCCTAAGGATGCTAAGGAGTGGATCTGGGATGACCACTCATGGACGGATGGCCAAGTCTTAGATAGACGGGATTGTGATATAAGTGGTATTGGACCATCAGTGCGGCAAAGGTGAATGGGCAGCGCTAGCGAGTGCAGCACCTCCCAAGATTAACTCTTATTCAAGCCATGAAATTTGTTGTGGAGGTGCTATACAGACCACAACAAAACTATTTTACATTATTAAGTGGCCTTAGCGTAACGGGCCAATATGTTAATGGTACCTTTGGGTGTCGGTCTTGGGACTGGACATGTGGAGCACTTGGACTAAGTGCAAGGGATGAGTGGCATGGATGCCATTCTCGGGACTAGCAAGTCCCAAGTCTTGAATTGGACTTAAGGAGGTTGTGAATGAGACTCCTCCAAGTGGTTAGAGGTGTGGTTAAGTGACTAAAGTAGAATAGAAAATTTAGTCGCTTACAACAACTTTACTAAGACTTTGGATATCATGTTGTGTGTAGCTCCTATATCAATCATCACTTGGATTTAGTGTCTGCGGACAAAGTCTACCAGATACATCAACAGATCAGTGTTTGCATTGACTGTGAGAAAAACTTGAGGAAAGTAGTGAAAGTAACTCACCTCCTCTTTCTCATAATTTTCATTGACCAACTCATTAACCACTTCAACTTCACCACCATCGTTTTCCCTTATGACATTAACCCGAGACTTTGTTTTATGCTTGTTGGGACATTCCAAGGACCTATATCCTCTCTCTCCACAATAGAAGCAATGACCCACACTACCTATTCCACTAGGAGTAAGTTTCGTAGGTTGCTACTGCTTGTACCCATCAGGAGGAGGAACAAAGGGCCTAGGACCAGAAAAAGTTGCTAGTGGTCGCCAACTAGCACCTTTGTTAACTATTGCTTATGAGCTTCTAGAGCGGAACTTTCCTTCTACCCTCTATTTCCAATCACCTTGTTTATTTTCAAAGTTCTTATTCTTGTCTGAAGTACCAGCATATAGCTGCTCATATTGTTCCATGAGCGAGTGATTAAAGGCAACTTGCTATGTTACCTCTTTACACTTTAGGAATGTCTTTGGCTTAAAGTTTAAAATCTCATTGCGAGAAAGTGAACTTAAACCTTATAAGAAATAACTTCAAGCATCTTTGTCACTCATACTTGTAATCATAATGCACTTCTGAGCAAATGCATCAATGTAATGCATAAGGTCCCCTTGTTACTTTAACTGCTGCAGCTTCATGCAAACTCTCAGATCAAGATAGTCTGGCAAGTATTCCTTACGGATACGAGATCACATCTTGGTCCAACTTCTAGTCTGCACTTTTTCAACACACACCTGGCGCAACCAAGATTTGGCATGATTGGTGAGAAAGGATTATGCATGTGCAACTTTTGTACGATCATCTATATCTGCCGCTATGGAATAGTTTTACATATCGTAGATCCAATCTCTTAATAGTCCCACATGCCTTTGAAATTGGGTGGTTTCGAAGGCTTGAACTTTGAAACTCGTGCAACTAGGGGCAATTGCGAAACTACATCATCCTCAAAACTTAAAGAGGAGTCTAGTAGCTTAGGTTTAGCTGGTTTAGCTGCCTTAACTTGTTTCTTCCTCTTTTTGTTCCCCTTCTTCAATTTGCAAACTTCCCTTTGCAAATTCTTGATTTCAACTTCTTGAGTTGTACATTGCAGTGTTACAACATTTGGCTCTTCATCCTTTGACTCAACCTTTGCCTCTTCTACAACATCTCTAGTAGGAGTTTCTTCCTCTCAATTCGCCCGTCTAGAGGTTTCAGCATCATCAACACGGTTCTTTTTTACCATCTCACTAGTTGTATGCACGCCTCTATCAGTAATTGAACATGCATATAAAGTTCTTACTGAATGGTGCAATTCAACTAATCCTACACAGGTCACTTTGGATCTACTAGAAAAGTCTTTATGTATGCAACTTGAATCGGAAAATCCGACAAAAGTTGGATAGGAATTGCTGAGATAATCCCTTTGATACCAAATATAGCATATTTGAATTTAGAGTTGAACTCCAAGCCTGTTAAGCTACAAAACAAGGGTTCAATATGACCTCATAAGCACCAACTCTTTGTATCTAGCATCTGTAAGCAAAACGGTGTCAAATGGTGTCTACCATGATTTTGGCATACTGGTGGCCAAACACAAGGAGTGTACTCCACTGATTAGAACAGCATAGTGCTTGGGCTTAAACCTAAGCCAAATGTAAAACATGGAGCAACACAACCCACCAAAAGTCAAACTAATGTCTTAGGTGGTCGGACATGCATTCCAACCA